CGCACACGGCAGTGGCACAAAAGGCAATATCATCCTCTGTCTGATGCAAGGAGCACTGGGGTAGCTTTCCGACTGTTCACAGCTTTTTTGCTTCCCCATAGAATAGTGTATTCAGGCCTGATCAGTCTTCCTCAGAAAAGAGATCATTTGGAAATGATGAACATGGTTTTCGTCGGGCCTTTGATAGATATAAAGAACCCGTGTTACCCTGATAGACTACTGCCTTTCACCTACGAAATGGGGAACAATGAGATGGAACTTTTCGGAGATTAACCATAACATACTGCTTACTCCACGTGGACATCCTACGCTGAGAGGACACCCATGGACAGATATAGTTTCCCTCAAAATTTTTTGGTCCACTCTTATTGATAGCCCGTGTGTACTAACTGGACAATGTCTGAGGGCCAATCTTTTCGAGTAAAAATAAGACCGGTTCACATAAAGAAGAGTAGAATAACATTGTCTTTAGGCATTGAAACCATAAGCACGAGGTTTGATTTCTCGGGAGAGGAGACCGCGGAATGGATGTCATTCAAACACTTCCCAGGGTAGGGCCCTGGCAAAAAGGGTGAAAAGGAAGAAAGCTAGGTAAAATAAAGAAGAGGGTGATAAAAACGAATGAGGAACTGAAAAAAGTTTCAAGAACCGTGGGTCAAGGTAAAAAGAACGGTTATTGCGGACATCAGCACCGGCATAACAAATACGCTTCCGCCAACGTCATTTTCAGGAAACACTTGCTTCCTGAGTTTCATCCAGCCACTCCTTGGGCTGTTTTCACTTATTCATCTATTATGTGGAGTAAACTTAACTTTTGACGAACTAATAGGCCTAAGAGCGATTGTGAATCTTGCTGGGACAAGCGGGTACCGAAGTACTTCACTCGGCCAAGCTTATCTGCATTATGCTGGGTGGGGTGTGCGTGCCGACGATGTTGACTTAGGCCAATCTTCGTCGGAAAAAGGCGGGAACAATCAGCGCAGGCCAATTGGGCAACCATGTTCATACCGACACTTTCATTGTCGTGAACTCGTTGGTGGGCTACCAAGCCAGCTTTCGATTTGCAGCACTTGCCACATTCTTCACACGTGAACCCATTGAGTCTCTCCTGTATATTGGTTGGAACTGGTGCGGAGGCGCCAGATGATTCGTAGTATACATTGTCGAAAGTAACCAGCACATCGAAACCAAACGGGGTGGTTAGCCCTGTTTAAAGTTGCTGAACTCTTAGCTCACCCAGACTGACGTCCAGGCTACCAGGTCGGAACCACGACGAGGTGGTTCAGCTCAGCGACTCACCAGTATCTATGTTTACTTGCACTCCGTCTACCAAATGCAAGTAATCTGATCGTTTGGCGGGCCAGCCTTCTCTCGAAAGGGTTCAGTCGGGTTCAACCCCTCCCTCACGGTTGTTCTACTGGGCCTTAGCTTCATTAGCCAAATTGTGGTCGTAGTGACTGGCTGTGTTGCTAGGGCTAACCAAAGTCTCGATAGCAGGTGAGCGAAGACGGTAAACCTGCACATCCGACCGCCACTAATTTGCGGGAGTGGGCTTAGTTTAAGCCAATTGCCAGTTGCCTCTGATCGTAAGTTTTCTCAAGGATTCAACAGTGCTCAGCGGATTCTGAGACCACTAGGATTATTTTATCATCTCACAACGAAACGTGAACATCCGAAACATATGGTCAAAGGCACCCATGCCGAACATGTCATTGATGAAGAAACCTATGATTGAAGTTTCTTCATATTTCTTCTCTACGTGGAATCAATATGAGAGCGGAACATCTTTTCTCGTTTACTGACAATTTCATTATAACCTAAGGTAAAAAATCTGTGGTGATGGTCGATTGACTCATCTCAGACGTGCAATGAAAGACGGATGTTCTCCTTGGTGCCATTCAGAGCCTCTTGGTACCGCATCGATCGGGTGCGCTTGGATCCGACAGTCTATCATATCCTAACAGACTTGACACAAGCAAAGTTTCAGACGGTTGTCTCCAAGCCAAACTAAAACAAAACAGGTTGGATGTTTTTTTCATGAAAGAAACTACTCACAAGGTTGCTGAAAACTCTTCGACAGCCCACGACCGGTTTCGTCCTCCGTGGGGCTCATCAGGTAGGCGCAGTCCCTGAGTTTCCGTCAACCTTATGTTCCTTATCATGGGTGCATGGAAGATTCCTATACCTTTCCAAGTGGCTACATGTTTATGTAAAGGCCTTTCCTCCGGAAAAATAACCACCTGTTATGAGCATCTACAGAACTGACAGGATAGTCGTCTCATAGTTAGGGGCAGATTGGTCGTGTCCTTTGGTTTACCCAAACAGCACTCTGGTGCATATAAACTTTACCTTGGCAAGCAACTGGATGGTATATACTTCGTTCTTTAAACCGTATAGTTGATATAATCGCGCACCAAAGTGTCGCATGTATCTACCCCGTGTTTGTTCTTCTGGAATGGATACATCCGCCATAAGAGGACCGTAAACTTTGTCATGTGGCTGAGGGGCTACACTCCCCGGATGAAATGAGAAACTTCTGGTAGTTTTTGCCCTACTACTTCTCAACACAGACAACCTTTATTCAGAAGATGTGGTTACTACTTGGCATGGCAATTGATTTCTGCTCTTTTGTGGTGAGGCCTGACTTGCAGAAGCCAAGTTTTACCGCATTAACTATTTCCGGTGCGTATTACGAAAACCGCACAATGAGCCCCATTCAGAGGGAGTGGCGTCATGTGACTGACCATGAGATGCGATTTTTGTATTTCGTTGGTCTAGATTTTCTGATCGACTGTACGAGCAAGTGCAACCGGTGTCAACTCTATCGCTTGATGAGAGCCAGTTGTGTGGCCAATTGTTCAGCTGGCTAGCTCAGATCTTTAGACAAATAAGTGTTAAAGGTCGAACTGCCAATTCTAAATCCTTAACCATGGTCGACCTAGGGATTAGAATATTGTTGAAAATTAAAAGATTCACAGCACTTCCTCGTTGCGGTTTTTCGAAAGAGAGCCCGTAAATTCTGC